TGGAGTGCAATGGCACAATCTCGGCTCACCGCAACCTCCGCCTCCTGGGTTCAGGCAATTCTCCTGCCTCAGCCTCCTGAGTAGCTGGGATTACAGGCACACACCACCATGCCCAGCTAATTTTTGTATTTTTAGTAGAGATGGGGTTTCACCATGTTGACCAGGATGGTCTCGACCTCTTGACCTCTTGCTCCACCCGCCTCGGCCTCCCAAAGTGCTGGGATTACAGGCTTGAGCTACCACGCCCGGCCTACACATTCTTTTTAAGTACACATTCTTATTTCATATCATACACAAAAGTCAATTCCAAATGAATTATAGATCTAAATGTGAAACACAAAATAATAAAAATTATAGAAGTAATAGCTCTATAATATTTGGGTAGGGAAGATTTATTGGACAGGAAACTAAAGAAATGACTGATAAATTACATTACATTAAAATAAAGAATTTCTTTTCATCAAGATAGCATAAGAGAATAAAAAGTCAAGTTAAAAAGTCAAAAGATATTTACAACATTTTATAAAGAACTCTTTTTTTTTTTTTTTTTTTTTTTGAGACGGAGTTTCGTTCTTGTTACCCAGGCTGGAGTGCAATGGCGCGATCTCGGCTCACCGCAACCTCCGCCTCCTGGGCTCAGGCAATTCTCCTGCCTCAGCCTCCTGAGTAGCTGGGATTACAGGCACGCGCCACCATGCCCAGCTAATTTTTTTTTGTATTTTTAGTAGAGACGGGGTTTCACCATATTGACCAGGATGGTCTCGATCTCTCGACCTCGTGATCCACCCGCCTCGGCCTCCAAAAGTGCTGGGATTACAGGCTTGAGCCACCGCGCCCGGCCTATAAAGAACTCTTAATGGCTGGGTGCGGTGGCTCATGCCTGTAATCCCAGCACTTAAGGAGGCTGAGGCAGACGGATTATGAGGTCAGGAGATCGAGACCATCCTGGCCAACTTGAAACCCTGTCTCTACTGAAAATACGAAAATTAACCGGGTGTGGTGGCGTGCACCTGTAGTCCTAGCTATTTAGGAGGCTGAGGCAGGAGAATCGCTTGAACCAGTAGGCAGAAGTTGCAGTGAGCTGAGATTGCACCACTGCACTCCAGCCTGGCGACAGAGCAAGACGCCGTCTCAAAAAACAAAAAGAACTCTTACAAATCCATAAAAGAAAGACAACCCTATAGAAAAATGAGCAATAGAATTGAGTAATCACCTCACAAAAGAAGCTAAAGGTTTTCAGCCTCACTAGTTATCAGAGAGTTATAAATTAAGCTATAATGAGATAAAACATATGGATGACTACCAGGATGACTACATTAAAAAATTTTTCTGAATTTTTATTTTGGGATAATTATAGATTTACAAGAAGTTGCAAAAATAGTACAGAGAGGTTCTGTGTACCCTTCACTCACTTCCCTTCAAAGGTCACATCTTAATAACAATATATACATCTTATGTAACTATAGCACAATGCTGGGCAAGGTGGTTCATGCCTGTAATCTCAGCTCTTTTGGAGGCTGAGACAGGAGGATTGCTTGAGGTCAGGCGTTCAAGACCAGTGTGGGCAACATAGGGAGACTCCATCTCTTAAAAAAAAAAAAAATTAGCCAATCATGGTGTCATGCACCTTTAGTACCAGCTACAAGTTGAGGTGGGAAGATCACCTGGGCCCAGGAGTTCAAGGCTGTGATTGTACCACTGCGTTCCAGTCTGGGCAACAGAGCAAGACCCTGTCTTCAGAGAAAAAAAGAATAAAGAAATATATAGTATAATATTAAAACCAGAAAAAAATATATATATATATATATTTTTTTTTGAGATGGAGTTTCGCTCTTGTTACCCAGGCTGGAGTGCAATGGTGCGATCTCGGCTCACCGCAACCTCCGCCTCCTGGGTTCAGGCAATTCTCCTGCCTCAGCCTCGTGAGGAGCTGGGATTACAGGCACGTGCCACCATGCCCAGCTAAGTTTTTGTATTTTTAGTAGAGATGGGGTTTCACCATATTGACAGGATGGTCTCGATCTCGACCTCGTGATCCACCCGCCTCGACCTCCCAAAGTGCTGGGATTACAGGCTTGAGCCACCGCGCCTGGCCAGTAGATATTCTTATCACAAATGCGTGTGTATAGTTTTGTGCCATTTTATCATGTGTAGATTCATGTAACTACCACCACAGTCAAGACACTGAACTGTATTATTACCACAAAGTTCTCCCTGTACTACCCCTTTAGAGTCTCACCCACCTACCTCACCTCCGCTATCCCTAACCTCTGGCAGCCACTAATCTGTTCTTAGTCTCTATACTTTTTTTCATTTTGAGAATGTTACATGATGGAATCACACATTTATTAGAGCAGTTTTAGATTCATGGTAAAATTGAGCAGAAGATAGATTTTCCGTAGATCCTCTTCCCCCACACAAGCACAGCCTCCCCTATTGTCAACATCCCCCACCCCAGTGGTACATTTTTTGCAGTTGATGAACCTACCTAAATGCATCATTCTCGCTAAAAGTTTATAGTTTACATTAGGATTCATTCTTGTTCAGATGGCTAAATTTTGAGACTGAAAATATCAAGTGTTGGTGCAGATGTAGTTCAATAGGAACTTTAATATACTGCTAAAGGGGATGTAAATAGCTACAGCCACTGTGAAATACTGGCATTTTCTACTAAGGTTAAATAGAAACCTACTGCCTGATTCAGCAATTCCATTCCTAAGTAAATATCCAACAAAAATTTGTGTTCCTATTCACCAAAAGAAGTTTTTGTAAAAACATATTTATAGAAATTTGTTTGTAATAGCTATAATCTGAGACAGGACCCAAGTGCTCAGCAATAGTAGAATGGATTTCTTAAAAAATTACACTGTATTCATACAGTAGAATAGAGCAAGAGTAGAAAAACATTTTCTGTAAAGGGCTATATAGTAAATATCTTAAACTTTGTGGGTCCTACATTGTCTGTGGTCATATGTTGTCTACCTAACTCTGCAGTTGTAGCAATGAAGCAGTCATAGGCAATATGTAAACAAATGGTTGTAGTTACGTTCCAAAATAGCCATTTATAAAAACAGACGTTAACCTTTGGGCCTGTAGATTGCAGGCCTCTGTTGTAGAGCCACAAACTGTTGTTACGTGCACTTACATAGATCAGTCTCACATACATAATTTTGCATGAAAGAAACCATACACTATAATTCAATTTTTGTAAAGTTCAGAAACATCCAAAACACCTATGGTATTGAAGTCAGTGTATCGGTTATTTTTGGGGAGAAAGAGGAGATCCTGATCAGAAGGGTCATGAAAAGGAAACTTCTAGGGTGCTAGTAATTGCTTTACCTGAATAGTGATTACTTAATTCTGGTCATCTTTGATTACTCATTGAGTTGAATACTGATGATTTGTACACTTCTTCTGTGTGTATGTTATACATTAATGAATTAGTTAAAAAAAACTAAACAAAAACATACACAACTTATGTTTCCATCCGGGTAGTATTGTGTTATTTATCTCTGACATATGGTAAACATACAATAATTATTTATCGAATTGGGTGTTGCTAATATTGAGCTCTGTAGCAATGTAAGGGACAAGAGGAGTGAGCAGTGATTTTGATTTCGCTTGAAGAGCTTATTGAAAACTTTTGAGGAAGAAATGTTGGAAATATACATTTTGACGTAATTAAAGATACTTTAGTGAAAAAAGATCATAATCTAAAAGGCTAACATTGGGATCTAATAAATGGTTTGAGCTGACAAGTGACTATTCATCTTTAAAGACAGAAGGAAAAGATTCTTTGGTTATTAAGAGCAAGCTACTACAACTATTTTGTAATGATATTTAATTTGCTTCCTGTTTTAAATTTGCTTCAGTCTGACAAATTCTTTGTTATGTTTTTTATTTGCTTAAACCCTCTTTGAACATTGCCCTGTAAAGTTTCATGTACCCATTAGTACCACATGGCGTAGATGAGATACAGGGTTTTATTGGGAAAAACTTAGAAGAAATAGAGAAAAAGCAGTCCCTCAAACTCCTTTTTTATCTCACAGTTTAGGCCGGGCATAGAGGGTCTTTATGCACTTGTGGCCAAGTGAACTTCCAGTAGAGAATGACCTCTACCCTCTGTAATGCTCCACACATTTGTAGGGTGGGACCGGAAACACCTAAGTGACTATGTAATAATAGTTAAAAAGAGGAAGCCTCCAGAACCCCAGAGACAGGGATGGGTTCTTTGAGCTAGCAGCTCTAACCTACTGAGTGTCTTTGCTGCAGCTATCCAGGGCCATCCAGATTTATCTTTATCATATGCATCCCATTATTATAAAATGAAGTGAAATCTTCTTGACCTAGTATTAAAGGTCTTCTAGTAGTTTTCTTCAACTTCCTCATCAGGCTTCTTGGTCACTGGTTCTGCCCAGATTTTCTCATTCACTCAATTACTTTCTAATAAACACATTGCTTTTTCCAAGCTTCTTATCTTTGCTCACATTATCTATTTAGAATGTTTCTTTCTTTCTCTAAATTCACATCCTTCAAGAGTTGCTTTTGTCCCATCTCTCCTGTGGTGGCTTCCTGATGATCTTAATTATACCAATATTGCTTTTCATATACTAACTAATATTACTCATTTTTATATGTTCATTTCTTTCTTTTCATCTAACATAAATTCCTGACTGGTAGGGAATACATATTATATTACTTTGTAACTTCTGTAATCCCTGGTAGTCTTGAATGTAAATGCTCAACAAGTAATAATTAGTATGTGTGCTCTTACAATGTTTTTAAATTATAAAATAGTCATAATTTAGGGTTTTATATGCCTCTTAGATTCTGAATGTTGTTATTAAGTATAATGCTAGATTCTTTATTAGAACATCTTTTTCACCCCATTGTAATTAATCCCTGTTTTAGAAGTTCATTTTTTTGGGTTGGTATCAATTATTGTCTGTTGGTTACTCTGTTAGCCAGTTTAGTAATTAGATTCCTCCATTCTACTTCAGCAAGAAGTTGAGAACTTTAAGAAGCTAAATCTCATTAGTAAAGAGCAGTTTGAAAACCTAACACCTGAACTTCCTTTTGAGCCAAACCAAGAAGTTCCTGTAACACCTTCACAGTCCAGGCAAGGTATGTAAATCTGCTTTTGTGCGTCTGAATAGTATTAAAGCAGTTCTGAGTTGTTTTTAAAGATTGCTACTTTTGTTTTTTTCTTTATTTGTGGAAAATCATTAGGTGTCTGGTAAAATGCTAAAATTTTAAAACTCAACTTTTAATTTATCCTTTGGTGAACTTCTATTATAACATCAGATTATGCTCGAAGCCAGATGCTTACTTAGAAGTAGGCAGAATTGGTTGGTTCTTTATGTATCTGATGTGATTTTGAGATTGCTGGGAATGTTTCTCTTCTCAAAATAAAATTTTTCACCCACTCACTGATCCTTAGAATGCAGTAGAGTCATTCTTTTGTTTTAAGGGCTTAGCTCTGTGTGAGAGTGTAAGTAAATACATTGAGAGATCCATAAATTGAATCTGACATTTCAGACAACTGTAACTGATTTTGTTATAGTCTTTTCCTGAAGGTGGTTAAAAAAATTTTTATAAAAGTGTCACACATATACAAAGACAGAGTGAATATTTTGTTGTTGTTGAGATGGGGTCTCACTCTGTTGCCAGGCTGGAATGCAATGCCACGATCTTGGCTCATGGCATCCTCGGCCTCCCGGGATCAAGCAATTCTTCTGCCTCAGCCTCCCAAGTAGCTGGGACTACAGGTGCATGCTACCAGACCTGGCTAATTTTTTTTTTTTTGCATTTCAGGTGCAGACAGGGTTTCACTGTGTTAGCCAGGATGGTCTCAATCTCCTGACTTCATGGTCTGCCTGCCTCAGCCTCCCAAAGTGCTAGGGTTACAGGCGTGAGCCACCGCGCTGGGTTATACAGTGAATTTTATAATGAAACCCCATGTACGTGTTACACTTAGTCATCTCATAACTAATTTTGTTTCATCTCAACTCTAGCCCCTCCCTATACTTCCCTGGATTATTTTGAAATAAATTCTCATATGATTCATATTTTTTTAATCCCTAAATATTTCTGTGTGTGTGTCTTCTAAAGACACACACACAGAAATATTTAGGGATTAAAGAAATCTTTTATATAACTTTTAACAAATAAGTAGCAGGACATTATCATATCTAAAATTAACAGTCATTTCTTTTTTTTTTTTTGAGACGGAGTTTCGCTCTTGTTACTCAGGCTGGAGTGCAATGACACGATCTCGGCTCACCGCAACCTCCGCCTCCTGGGTTCAGGCAATTCTCCTGCCTCAGCCTCCTGAGTAGCTGGGGTTACAGGCACGCGCCACCATGCCCAGCTAATTTTTTGTATTTTTAGTAGAGACGGGGTTTCACTATGTTGACCAGGATGGTCTCCATCTCTTGACCTCGTGATCCACCTGCCTCGACCTCCCAAAGTGCTGGGATTATAGACGTGAGCCACCGCACCCTGGCTAACAGTCATTTCTTAATGTTAAATATCTAGTTAGTGTTCAAATTTCCTCATTCATCACTTTTTTTCCCAGTTTCTTCAAATGGATTGCAATAGAGTGATATGTGTTTTTTAGTCTACAGGTTTCTACAATTTTTTGCCTTATAATTTATTAGTCCTTGCAATTTACTATTGAAGAAACTGGGTTGTTCTATAGTCTTTCACATTCCGAATTTTGCTAATTGCATCCCCATAGTTTCATTTAACCTGTTTTCTAGTCCTGAATTGTCTCTGTCCTGAATTGTCTCTGTTAGTCCGACATAGAGGCTTGATTAGATTGATACTCAAATCTCTGTAAGGATATGTCATATGTAGTATTGAATACTATTAGGAAATACATAATGCCCTATTGTCTCTCTTTGTGTAGCAGTCATTGATGATCAGTGAGTGAAGCTTTTATTTTACTAGGGATTACAAAATAGTGATGATTCTATTTTTAATCATTACTTCTTACTTTAATAGGTAGAATACTTTTATGAAGAGAACTTTCTACCAATTATACTGTCTATAATTTAGAAAAAAAAGAGAGAACTTTCCTCAGAATTTGTTTATTCTGATATAGAGTTTTTACAGGAAAGTGAATTATTTCCCTTTGTTTACTAGTTTCAAAGTAATACCTGGTTCCTTAACATTCTTCGATGGTGACTAATGAAGTTTTTGTTTTTAAATGATCATTGTGAGCTCATAAATACATGAGATGGGTTTCATTCTATTGTAGTTATTATTATTATTGATACCTGGGTCAGTTTTCAGTATATTGACTTTTAGCTCTAAAGCCACCTTTCGTTTTCTTGCTCAGTAACAATGGAGTTGGACTGTTAACTTTAATGTTTCCCACCCCACACAAGGTGGAGATTTGTCAGTACCAGAGCTGCTACCAAGTTAGTCCTTGTTTCTAGGCCTTTTGAATAGAAAGAGCTAGGAAATCTTTTAAAGAGAAAAATATATTATGTATTTATGTTGATATTTTCTGTCTAAATTTAAGATTATAGGTTTTGAATTTTAATTTGTTTCATTTTGTAATTGTATTGCTTTTTGCTTAGATATAAAAAAACTTTGTTTCTAACTGCAGTAACATAATTATTTATTTGCTAATCCTATGAGATAATAGTTTCAGAATAACAATAACATTAAATAATAATTTTATAAATACTGAAAGGTAACTTCTTTTAGAGTTCTTTAAAATTTAAACTTTCAAAAACTTCATACTTTAAAGCTTTCTTTAAAGTTCTGTATGTGTCCCACTAGGGATGTTCAGTTCAATTGCTGGATTTTTTTGTCTTGTTAAATTTGAGTACTTTAAAATTGAGAATGTATGTTCCTTTGCACATCATAGAAAGAATACAAGTCACAAATAAGGAGATACATTTGCATGAAATTAACAAATAGTATCATAGAAATCTAAAAGCTTAAAAATTAATATGAAAAATGGGAAACAGTAATAGAAAAAGTAATAAAACATGAACATCAGTTTCACATTTGGGAAGACCAAATGGCAAATAAATATGAAAAGACACTATTTTTACTGAGGTTTTCCCATTAAAACCATAATGATATACCATATTATAACCTAGTAGTTTCATTTCAAGAGATACTATTGCAGGTCACTGTGGCTCATGCCTGTAATTCCAATACTTTGGGAGGCCAAGACAGGAGGATCACTTGAGGCAAGGAGTTTGAGACTAGCCTGGGCAACATAGGAAGACCCCATTTCTACAAATATTAATAATAAATGAAGAGTTACTGTTGCAAATGTTTACCAATAGAATATTTGTAGTATCATTGTTTATAATAGAAAAAAGCAAATGAAAACTAAAAAATGCTCAGTTATAGTAGAATGTATTGTAAGATGTGGTGTATTCATACATAAGAAAAATAGGCAGCAGTGGAAAATGAAAGAACTAATGTTACATATGACAAAATGTGTTAATCTAAAAATATAGGAAAAAAACAACAAAAAAAATAGAGTGTATAAAATAAGCTAGAACAAAGACGTTGATTCAGTGTGATGCTATTACAAAAGTATAAAATTCGCCGGGCGCGGTGGCTCAAGCCTGTAATCCCAGCACTTTGGGAGGCCGAGGCGGGTGGATCACGAGATCTACAGATCGAGACCATCCTGGTCAACATGGTGAAACCCCGTCTCTACTAAAAATACAAAAAATTAGCTGGGCATGGTGGCGCGTGCCTGTAATCCGAGCTACTCAGGAAGCTGAGGCAGGAGAATTGCCTGAACCCAGGAGGTGGAGGTTGCAGTGAGCCGAGATCGTGCCATTGCCCTCCAGCCTGGGTAACAAGAGCGAAACTCCGTCTCAAAAAAAAAAAAAAGTATAAAATTCATGGTTGTATGCATAGCACATAGGAGCCATGAAGAGAGGCAAAGGGAATTATTAATATAATAATTTAATATATTAATTTATTCCTGAGGGTAGGGGAACCCCATCTGGAAGGTCTGAACATGTGTTTGCTGGCATCTGGAATTTATGTATTGGTCTAGTTGGTTGTTATGAGTGTGTATCAATTCTGTTTTAAAATTCACATGTAAATTTGGCCAGGCACAGTGGCTCAGTGGCTCATGCCTGTAATCCCAGCACTTTGGGAGGCCAAGGCAGGCAGATCACAAAGTCAGGAGATTGAGACCATCCTGGCTAACATGGTGAAACACCATCTTTACTAAAAATACGAAAATAAGCCAGGCATGGTGGCACACACCTGTAATCTCAGCTACTCAGGAGGCTGAGCAGGAGAATCACTTGAACCTGCTTGGGAGGAAGTTGCAGTGAGCTGTTGATTCACACCACTACACTCCAGCCGCCTGAACCACAGAGTGACTCTGTCTTAAAAAAAAACCCACAAAATTTATATATAAACTTATTAATTTTTCTTTGCTGTAATCTCTAGTTTTTAAATATACGAACAGAAAACTATAAAAAATAAAGTGACAATTTAAAAGATAGAATTTGGGCCAGGAGTGGTGGTTCATGCCTGTAATCTCAGCACTTTGGGAGGCCAAGGTGGATGGATCATGGGGTATGGAGTTTGAGATTAGCCTGGCTAACATGGTGAAACCCTGTCTGTACTAAAAATGCAAAAATTAGCCAGGTATGATGGCAGCGCCTGTAATCCCAGCTACTTGAGAGGCTGAGGCTGGAGAATTGCTTGAAACTAGAAGGTGGAGGTTGCAATGAGCTGAGATCCTGCCACTGCGCTCCAGCTTGGGCGACAGAGTAAGACTCTGTCTCAAAAAAATAAAAGAAAAAAAGATAGAATTTGACCTCTATTGCTATGACAGGAAATGCTGAAGAGATTAATGTTCAGATTAAAAGATAATTTTAATCTTAAAATTAATTAGATTTTAACATGCACTCTATGCTAAGTTATATGTCATAAAAGATGGAAAGATTGGAAGGTAAAGGATGGGAAATCGTATAAAATAATGATCCTAATAGAAAAGAGTCGGTATTGCTATTACTATATAGAACGTAAGGCATAAAGAAGGTATTGATTTTCACTGTCTTCAATATCTGTATTCCTATTTATTCCCTATACCTGCTCCAAATAGGCCTCTGTCCTTCACAGTC